TGTTATTATATTCTATTCTGTTATATACATTAACATATTAGGTTGCTTGTTTTGTACAGGGATTCTTTGTCCCCATCGCTATCCTAGGGGACTACCCACATTTAGTTGTTATAGGAGCAGGACTTGCTTTGGGTTTCTTGTGGTGAGACAACTGTGTTTTAAAAATGTGAATTCTTGTAGCTTCAAGGGTTTTGTCTTGATTTCTATTCCATGACATGTCATATGCCATTGCTCTCTGTAGTGATTATTATAGATGTTTAATTGTCATTGAAGAGCATGCATATTACGTGGCTATTCAGAGGATGGATTGTTTTGTATTGAAGTAGAAGGCTGCCCAAATGAACTGGATAAGTGTGGTTTAAGACAAATTATGCAGCATAGGGATTAATGTGTGTAGTGCATTGAAGAGAGATTGAGAGAAAGAGATGATAAGTATAAAGGAAGTGATGTGGGTCCTACACACAGTCATATTCTTTTACGCCCCTTCTTCAAGTGCATTAATGTAAAGGATCTAATTTGCTTATGGAGTGGTGCAAAAGCCAGTTTTGGAATCCACATATACTCTACCAGAAATTTGTGACTGTAAACTTCTGTAGGAGATAAATGCACTTGTTTTAGATTCTGATATATCTTGATTGACAATTTTTGTACAAGTTGCTCTCTGGTGTTTGTTTAAAATCCCCAAGTGCTTTTTAGAAGCACCCTAAAGCTTCCAGTGGACGCTTTTCCAAGCTGTTGCAGTTGTCATGAACATGGAATACCCAACAATCCTTAGACTCTCTTAGACTTAACCATTAATCTTTTTTAATTTAAAATTTTTCACAAACTTTACTGGCAGCAGTTTGACTATAACTTTAAGCAGACGGTATATTTGTAAGTGAGTATTTCAAAGTAGTTCTTAGTACATTTTGACAAAACAGCAGAATGAATGTTCTTTTTTCATGGTGGTTTTTCTTGTACCAACATCAGTACTTTTGAAATGCCACAAGCCCACAACATTTCAAAGGTAATATGGCAGGTTCTGTAAGAACTAATTTGGATATGGAAGAACATCTAGAAAAACTCTCCTTGCTTGTACGTTAGTGTCTTGTGAGAATTGTACATTTGTTGGTTGTAGCTTCACTCTACTTGATCTGATTCTTTATATCCTAGAGGTTAAGAAGGCTTAAATTTGCAGGGAAGGATGATTTTGTCTCACTTGTGTGATGAACCCAAGGGCTTAAAGACTGGAATGTGCATGGTATTGAGTTCTTTTCTCCCTCTCCACTCTTTAATTTGGGAATATAAATTTCTCCGATTTAAGATATTCCATTAACACAGTTTTGGTTTAAAAAAATAATTGATCTGAGGATTTTGTGCACTGCTGTACAGTCGTTGCTGTATCTCCCATTGGCCATTGCAAATGCACTTTCGTCAAGGCTGAATGATGGGTATGTTGTTTATAATGTTAGAGTTTGGTGTTAATAGACATGGTATTTAACCATTTATCTTTTTTTTTTTCAGGGTTCCTTTAGTAAATGAGAGATTAGTTCTTCTTGGTTTTTGTGCATATTCAGGTAATTAGGTCCTCTTGCTTGTGATGTGCAGCAACTCATCTCACAAGGCATTAATTTAATAATAAGAGAGATAAAAAGGATAAAATAATTTTTAGTCCGTAAACTTTCTCTTAATTATTTAGTCTTTAAATTCTAACTTACTTTACTTTGTCTTTTTAATTTGTTAAGTTATGATATTATAGGGACTGGATTGTATCAAGTAAAAAATTATAAATACTTAGTTATTATGAGTTTAGGAGCTATAGGAATTGAATTATTCTGAGTCAAAATTCAGGGACTAAATCGATAATTAAGAACAAATTATAAGACTAAAAGTTATATTTTTCAGAGATAAAATGTCGCTTTAATCAATAACAAGAAAGCCATTTGTTATTGAAAGAAAACTTGAATCCCCGTGGGGGAAGACCTTTCTAGTTAATGCTAAAAGGACCAATTTGCTCTATCAAGTAAAGTACAGGGACTGAAGTGCAATTCAGTCTAAATTTTGTTGTTTCACCCGTTTAACATTCTTTTTTTTTTTCGAAAATTTTTTTTGTAAACAGTGATTATTTATATGCACTTTGCCACGTCTGTCATTCATGAGATTACAACTGCCTTGGGAATATACTGCTTCAGGTAACTTATGATCAATGGATTGCTGTAATTATCTTGCAGCAGTGAGCATTTGTTTCATTCTTGAATTCATTTCTAGTTTTCTACTTGATGCAACCTCATTTTCTTTGTAAATGGATATTAGAAAACCATTATTGTATATTGATGCCTTAATTGTCACGTTTTGCTTTATTGCAGGATAACTAGGAAAGAAGCTTAAATAGTTAAATTTGCTAATGTTTTACTCCTTGGTATGCCTTTCTCCTCTTCACAATCTCTGTTCTTGTAAACAGTTCATATTCTCTTTCTTTGGCAAAAAAAAAAAAAAAGAGTTCATGTTGTGTTATTTAATCAAGTGTTGATGTTTTATTTTAAAAAAAAACTCTGAGCAAAAATTAGTCTTGTCAACTAATCAAATTATCAAATCTAAACTTAGTTACTTATTCTTGACCAATTAGACTCAACTGATCTTTCTGAACTTATATTTTCCTTTCAGTATCTTGTTCTGAATCATACTTTTGATGTTTACAGGAGACAAAGTGAAACAAAATAGTGTCAGGGTTATGGTCAATGTATTTTTTGCTATATTGACAATTTGGAAAACTTGTAGAGGATTTGAATCATATATATGTACTTAAATTGATATTTTTTTTAGATGCATGGGATATTTGTTGTTCTGCAGACTCTTCAGCATTGTAAATTATATTTTATCTTGTGTGTAAACAAAACACTACATAAAATTTCTTATACTCTGCCTCAAAGGTTGTCTGTACTCTTTGTACATGCTTTTGATCTTGTAATGTCTGATGTAGAACTGGGAATTCGGGTGGGATGGGCCTATTCGGGCCCAACTCCCTAAAAAGCTCGAATTGTTAATTGTTAAGCCCGGCTTGAATTCCTTCAGGCGGTTCAAATACGCGGATTTTATTTTAAAAATCATTTTTAATTAATTTTTTTACTTTAAAATTAATTATTTTATTTTATAAAAAATATATATTTAAATGATGTATAGGATTCAAATATATAATATTTTAGCATAAAATGATCTAAATTTCAATAATTAATTAATATTATTATATTATATATTTTAAAATAAAATTTTTTATTCAGGTCTTCGAGCCAAGCCTGAACCTAATCGGGCTTGCACCGAATTTCTTTGGGCCTATTTTGAACATAAAAAAACTATATTTTTTAAAGTTGGGTCCTAAATTTTTTTGGACGGTTTCGGGCTAACTCATATTACCTACTCTACTTTGATGTATTGTATATTAAAAAAAAAAATTCACAAGTATATTTTTGTATAATCAGATTTCAGATAAATGGGTTATGAATAATTAATTCTGAGTTTATAGATTTAAAAATTTGATGTTCACAAGCCTAGATTCAGGCGTTAGTATTACAATGCTATCTTCATATCCTCCCTTTTTTCATCGGATGTCCCGAGGGGTTGCTATCTTTGTATTCTACTAGAGAATAGTTAAATCATACTGTTGTTTCTTTTTTCGTTTCGAACATCAAGTTATATTTGTATGATTTTTATTTTTAAATTTGATAGTAATAATTTTTGTTTTTAATTATTACTTTATTATTTTATTAAAAAATCTGATGTGTTAGTGATATTAAGTTTTTTTTTTAGATAACCCTTTAGGGTTCATTTGATGCACAATTAATTTGGAAAAATAGAATAGAAAATAGTGAGCTTGTTTAAGTAAAATATCTATTGAAATACTAAAATTAAAAGTGATTTGCAAAAATTGATGCTGTAAAAGTTTTTTTTAGAGGTTCTAAGTTTAAAATTAAACACTAGTTAGTATTTTTATTATGAGTGAAATTAGAGTTAGTAATTTAAGTTAAACCTGACGGGTCAATTTGAACTCATCTAAAAAATTTAAAGCCAAATTCAAAAAAATATTAATTTTTTATTATTTGGGCTAAGTCTGATGGGGTTCGGGCTTGGCCCAAATACCAAAATAAAAAATAATTTTTTAAAAAATATATATAATATAATAAATATTATTTAATTTTTAAATTTTTATATCATTTTATACTAGAATACTATATATTTGAGTGTTTTCATATATTTATTTTTTTAAAAAAATTAAAAATATTTTTATTTCATGTTTTTATTTTTTTTAATTAAAAAATATCTCAAAAATAATATTTAAAATATATTTTAATATTAATTTTTATATTTTAAGACCTAATTTTTTTATACATCATTTGCATATAAAAATTATTTTTATATTTTTTATAAATTAAGATAATTAATTTTAAAGTAAAAATAAAATTAAGAATAATTTTAAAATAAAATTTAGGCATGTACAAATTACCGACTCTACTACTAGATAAGCATAATAAATAAAATAATATTTTTAATAATTACTTAGTTATTGTCCACTCTAAATTTGATTAAAAATTAAGAATAAACTAGAGTAAAAAATTTTTATATGTAAGAGTTAAACAATATAAAAAGTTAAAGAAAAATGATTTTAAAAAAAATATTTTACTCATAATTAAATAATTTTTCTTTATATAATATAATGATGACTATTTTTTTATATTTATAAAAATAAAAAGTACAATTTACCTAAAAGTTATTAAAAACTTTGAACTAATCAGAAAAATAATTTTAAGTTAGTAGTCTAACTGTGATTGAATTGAGATCAACTTAATCATAATTAAATAATATAATTTAATTAAAATATATAAAATATTTATATATGACTATGATAAGAGCAATATTTAAACAATTAAGACATTAATTTATAAGTAAAGAAGACATTCATGAATAAATTATACATAATACAACAAAATAATAACAAAGCTACTTAAGTATAAGGTTGATAAGTTATTTTTATTTATTTTTTTTAAAAGTTAAAATAATATTTTATACTTAATAGAATTATTAAAAATTAAAAATGATTCAAAATAAAGAAAAAATATTTTTAAAAAGTTTCGGGTATTCAGGCTAGCTTGAAGTCCGAAGGTTAGTGTTGAGCTTGACTATATAGGCTTTTTAAAAAGGGTAGGATATTTTAAATCCGATTTGAATAAGCCCAACTTGAATTAAGCTCGACTCACCTGAATTATCGACTCTAAGTAAAACAAAGAACCACTAACTACAAAGAGAGGGGAAGAAAAAGTAATGTCACCTATTTACAAGTACTCCATTCATATATAAAATTATAAGATAATTTTAGAGATGTTATGAATAAAATATAAAGAGAATGAAAATGAGAAGATGAGGAGGAGGAGGAGGAGAAGAAAGACTAGAGGCAATTAAAAAATGAGGATAATCTCTCTTTTGTATTCTCTTCCATAGCTACGATATAAATGCAATACTCTATTTATAGGTATAGACTTATATCAAGGTTATGTAAATGATAATAGCAAATAAAACATAATTAATACTCTTGATAGTGAGAGTTTCCTGAGAGAAGATGACGATGAAGAGATTAAAAAGAGATGAACATCCGCATGATTTTTAATATTCATAACGCTACCTATTAGATGTATATTGTATAAGAATGTGCATCATTAAAAACTTTGAATAGGAAAAACCTTATGAAACAAAAACCTAACAGAAGAAAAGAATACATCATTTATTTGTATGTTATTTAATGTGTCTCATTAAAAATTTTACCAGAAAACCTAATGGGATAAAACCTTGATTAAGGAAAAAAGAATATAATGCATATTTACTCCCCATAATGACAACATCACTTTAAATTATTGTACTTTAAGATAATATATTAATTTCTCAAATGCAACTGTTGTCAATATTTTTTCAAGTGGATCTTAATTCTGGTCAAACTATACTAGATATATTGTCATATCTTGAAAATATATCTTCAAGATATCATACTTTTCTCATATTATATCTCTTTTTCAATATCTATTAGTTAAATTTGCTAACAAAATTGTATCATGTATTAATATTAGCTAGATGTATAAATGTTAATATATATATATATACACACATGGTACTTCAGGACCAATCAATTCAGTATAGTCTCATAGACAAAATAAACATAGCATATTGATTTTAAAACCATTGGGTATTTAAATACTCAATCAACAAGTTGAATGTAAAATACATATCAAAATTTTATTCTCAAATTATTTTGATCAAAACCTTTTCAATACATATTTGCCAAGACAATATACATAAATAATAATAATAATAATAATAATAATAATAATAATAATTCATACAAGCTTAACAACTTATACATGTATATATGTTGAATCCATTTCTCGGTAATTTTTCATGCTATTGGCGTTTGAACTCATTCAATGATTATCATGTAAAATGCTGTAATAGTATTCAATAGATGCATTATATTTCAATTTTATATACTGATAGACTAATAATATATATAAAAATTCACCATAAGATAATATACTTGATCATTATTAGACCTTTGCGAAAATATTTATTTTCACATAAATGTTTATTTATCCTGTAATAACATTTATATTTCAAATATTTGAACAGCATGTCTATGATTTTCACAAATTAAAAATAATATAATTCTACTCATATTGTGTATTTTCCTTCACCTTTTTAGTTTGGCCAATTATTTTCTGTCTACTTTTCATGACAAGTTTGTAGACAATATTCTCATTTAATCACGTGATATTATCATCAAATTTGTTATCGAAAACTTTATCTTTTGGTTCCATTTTTTCAAGTGTGGCATAACTTATTGAGATATCTCTTTATTACTTTCGAGTAACTAGATCTCTTCTAACATTTTACATTAGTTATGTCATGACCATTTTATAGAGTGTCTGCTCTTCAGTATGATCATTTTAATTATATGTTCCTCTTTTATCAAGATTTTGTATTAGGAACTAACTAATCTCTCATGCTTTAGCATGATGATTAGTTTCATTTATTCTAATTTGAGCATTTTTATCTAGAACAAGAAATTTAGTAATCTTATACACATTAGTGATTGTATCTGGCAGATTCTTTGGTAACATTTGATAAACTCCTAGTTCATATTTTTACATGTGAGGATTAAATAAGACATAGTAATAATGCATTCCATATATTTTCTTTTCTAGCTATTCATTTTTTCTCCTCGTGTTGGGAAAACTTTGTCAATAATGACAACCAGTTAATCATGGTATAAGTCTCTTGAATCTATTTGTTTCCTTTAGAAACATTTGTTGTTGTTTCATTCAAAGACAAACAAGAAGGAGAATAATCATTTGTGTGCAACGTGGTGGAATGGGAACAATAATAATAGGCATTGCATATTCAAAAGTTCTAAAATGGCGTATCCTTAGCTTTTGACCAATGATCAATTTCAAAAAGAGGAATTTACAATACCTTATTGGTTTAATATGTATTGTGTTGTAGTTTGTAACATCAAATATTTTAAATTAATAATAAAAATTTTGTTCTCATAAACATTGATTTCTAGATATTTGTAGGGAAGCTTTAACAAGTGATTTTGCTTAGTCACCTTTAAATAGGCTCTTTTAAGTTTGAAGTATAAATTCACTAGCATTCCCAACTAAACTTGTTTGAATTACATAGTTTGAAAATTGTATACTTTTACATAATGGTTTATGCATATAATTTTGCAAACTTTAATTGTAAAAATATCTTAGATTCCTCTATCAAATTTATTGAATATTTGCACTATTCACTT